ATTGCCTTAAAATCCTAGTTCTATTCGTGATTAATGTACCTACACTTTCGCCGGACCGAGACAAAATTCAATGTCAGTTTTAGAATGTCCACTCACGCGACAACGGCCACTGGTGCAGCGTAATATACGTTTATATGCCGACGGCGGACATGACAGATGCAGACTTGTTGACGGATGAAATGTATATCAAAAAAAAAAAAAAATAAAAACCATTGAGAAAATGTTGTCCATTCAGTGTGATAAATAGACCCATAAAAATGAATGCAAAAAAGTATTACAGTAGGAAATAAGTACCTAAATGGTCAGTTAATACCTATATATATATATATATTTTAATATTATGATTTATGAATGTAGGCTGCAGGCTGTAGTGAATCGGTAATCGGTATACGTGTCGAAGTTTAGCATCATAATAATATAATATTATCACAGTTTAATGAGTTGTCTATTGAGTAGGCATAGGACATAAGTACTGTTTTTACCAAACGGATCGCAAACTTTTTAATATTTAAATATAACATTTACACGCAGATATATGTATAATGGGTGTATGGTGTATCACGATCAACTGACGTTTTATTTTTGGATTGGCAGGTAAAAGAGTTTTCGAATTATTGTGTGACATGATTAGAATTGGTCTCAACTACTTTAATATATAGAGTATACATAGGTACACAATAGATACGAAATCATATTAACTCATCTTGGACGCATTTTCCTTGTCAACTACGTGATTCGTGTCACGATACGCGAAAACGTAAGCGTATTCAAGAGCTGCTATGAATATGCAATATTGATCGCTGAATTGTTATTATATTTATATTATTATTTTGATGTTCTGAATAGGCACACCATTATTAAAATTTTTACCCAAACTTTTAACCATTTCATCAAATACATAATCGAACGAATTCGTATGATATTTTTAAGTTCTTAATGAYTTTGCTATCCATTACATTTAAAGACGTTTATTATATTATTTACTACTATAACTTCAGCCAAAATCGTTTCTCAACAGTACATTTAAATTGTTATAMTATTTTAACCATTAGGCTCTCCAATACTTATTATTATTAATCAATAGTGAAATCATTTTGATAGGTACCTAGGTATATAAAAACCCACGGAAWCTATATTTGAATAAATTCCTAAAAATCACTTTCTAAATTGAAAATGTTATATTTAAAAATAAGTTATATGTACAAATAAATAACTTTATTCAATAAACGAACTTAAAGGTTAAAATCCCGAAAAATTAAAAAAGCCAAATCATAATAATATAAAATCGACACAAAAACAACCAGACACCAGTAGTCACGTGTTGTTTCGTAAAACAATGTTTTCAAGCTATTGAGTTGTGTTTTTATGTCTCTCCCAAAGAAAACGTGAAATGCAATGAAATCTTAATTTTCTTGTTTTTGCAAAATGTATAATATATTTACTTTCCTACGAATAGTAGACCGCCACGACGACCACAAGGACCGCAACATATTTGCAAACGATATTATCATAATCTGCAATGTCAACGCTCTCTTAGTTTACAATCAACATCGTAGTATTATTTATTACGAATACTGTTGCTGTAGTTTATTAATGTCAAGATCGCTTACGATTTTTACGTAACGTCTGAAACCGGGTCATCGTCCTCTTTACATTGGTTGGTTGTTGGTTATATCATGCAGATACGATAACCAAAAAAATCCCAAACGAAATCACGCAATGATCAGTTGCAGTCCTAAGCCTTTGTGCTTAAAAATTCATAAGGTGATAACATGCGTACCTATGATAGAACGTTTCAGCAAAT